AACAGGTATTCCTCCTGTTTTGTAAGGAGGTTATTTAATATGGGTGGGTTCCCTCCTTGGACCATGAGGCCGTGTCGGCACCCAGGAGACCAGCACACGGTTGGCACCATGGTCTCCGAGCCAGATTCACATGGAGGGTGGGGACACCGGCGTCCACGAGGCCCCAAGGCGGGCTTGGGCCGCAGCGTCGTACTGGCTGTCGGGAACGTCTGTGGCTGTGGCCCCCCCTTCGTACAGCGGGGAGCCCGAGGAGGATGCCGTGGCGGTGTGGGTTAGGGGTGCATAGTGTGCGGGGGAGCCCCGGAAGAACTGGGCCCCCAGCCCATTGGCCACCGCTGGCGTCTGGGAGCTGGGGGTGATGGCGCCGTTGCTCACAGACCACAGGTTGGGGTACTGGCTGCAAAAGAGAAACACAGGGAGTCAGGGGGTCAGGTGAGGCTGCCGGCCAGCCGCAGGTGGGGAAGGGCCAATGCTGACGCTGTCAGGATATCTCCTTCCGACGAGCTGGCTCTGCGTTAGAGAAAGCCGGTGACCTCGTTCTGAGAGGCGTCGAAGCTCCAGCATCCTCTCTGAAGAGCAAAGCCCTGACAAGACTGCGGGCCCATTCACAGCTCCAGGAGGTGTGTGACAAGCTTCTCCACAGAAACCTCCAGAAGAGAATATTCCTGAGACTTATCCCAGCATGGGCCTAAGCGTCGGGAGTTTTGACTGGTGCCCCCACTGCAGTGACTCCTGCTCAGGACAGCACCCCAAAACGTCAAGCTGTGAGGGCCATTCCTGATAGAACTCCCACCCTAGGGATCCTGCCCTGCACCCTGCCTTGCTCAGGACACACACCTGTGGGCAGGATGCCTGCAGGAAGAGACAGACAGACAGGGACTCAAACCAGAAATGCAGCCCCAGGCCTGCCCTGACAGCTGGGTCCCATCAGACGTTGTCCCCGCCCATGAAATAAGGGAAGTGGGCATTAATCCTCCAGGCTAGGCACATGGAAAGGAGCCGTGGTGGCACAACTGCAAAGACACCAACCAAAAGGTTGATGGTCCAAGCCCACCAGCAGCTGCACAAGAGGAAAGACCCAGTGACCTGCTCCCTGGCAATTCTACTGACACGTGGAATTAACTCGACGGCACCTAACAGTTACATACACAAGGAGGGAAAAGCATTAAACTGTGC